AATCCAATTTAAATATAGTGAATGACATGGGTTAAAAGTAAAAGGATGAAAAAAGACATATCATGTAAACACTGATCAAAAGGAAACTGGTGTGGCTATGTTAATACCAAATAAAATAAACTTGAGAACAAGAAATATTACCAGGAATAAATAGGGACATTACATAATAATGAAAAAGGCCATCATAGAGACAAAGCAACCCTAAATGTATAGGCACCTGACCAAAGAGCTTTAATACGGATAAAGCAAAACAAAAATCAATAAAATACAAAGCAAGAAAAAAATGAAATAAAAAATGGTTCTCTGGGGAAAAATTTTTAAAAGACATTACTGCAGACATTAAAAGGATAATAAAAGATTCCTGTGAACAACTCTTACTATGAATAATTCTTCAACTTAGAAGAAACAGAGAACTTGAATAGTTTGTCTATTAAAGAAATTGAGTTCATAGCTAAAAACCTTCCAACATAGAAAACTCCAGGCCCAGATGGTTTCTTTTTTTAAAAAAAATAATTTATTTATTTATTCATAAGAGACACAGAGAGAGGGCAGCCCTGGTGGCGCAGCGGTTTAGCGCCGCCTGCAGCCCGGGGTGTGATCCTGGGGACCTGGGATCAAGTCCCACGTCAGGCTGCCTGCATGGAGCCTGCTTCTCCCTCTGCCTGTGTCTCTGCCTCTCTCTCTCTCTCTCTGAATAAATAAATAAATCTTAAAAAAAAGAGAGAGAGAGAGAGGCAGAGACACAGGCAGAGGGAGAAGCAGGCTCCCTGCAGGGAGCCCATTGTGGGACTCGATCCCAGGTCTCCACTATTATGCCCTGGGCAGAAGTTGATGCAAAACCACTGAGCCACTGGAGCTGCTCCAGAGGGTTTCACAGGTAAATTCCAACAAACATTTAAGGAAGAAATATTTTTGATTCTATAGTCTCTTTCAGAATGTAAAAGAGGGAACACTTTGCAACCCTAAGAGGCCAGCACTACTCTGAGGACACAACCATAAAAAGACATTGTAAGAAAGGAAAATCTGGGACCCGAGTGGCTCAGCAGTTCAGCACCTGCCTTCAGCCCAGGGCGTGATCCTGGAGTCCTAGGATCGAGTCTCACATCAGGCTCCCGGCATGTCTATGTCTCTGTCTCTCTCTTTGTGTCTCTCACGAATAAATAAATACAATCTTAAAAAAAAAAAAAAAAAGAAAAGAAAGGAAAATCCAGGCCAATATTCCTCATGAACCAGGGATACAAATATCCTCAACAAGATTTTAACAAATCAAATACATTGATGATAATCCCTACAATCAAGGTTGCATATGTGGCATATGCAAGTCCAGTTCAACATTTGAGTTATCACTGTAATTCACCACACTGACAGGCTAGATAAAAAACTCTCAGCAAACTAGGAATAAAAGAGAACTTCCTTAACACGAAGAGGGAATCTTTAAAAAATAACCTATAGCTCAGGACACCTGGGTGGCTCAGCGGTTAAGCGTCTGCCTTCAAGCCCAGGATGTGATCTCGTAGTGCCGGGATCGAGTCCCACATCGGGCTCCCTGCATGGAGCCTGCTTCTCTCTGCCTGTGTCTCTGCCTCTCTCTCTCTCTCTCTGTGTGTGTCTCTCATGAATAAGTAAATAAAATCTTAAAAAAAAAACTATAGCTAACATTATACTTAATAGTGAAAGACTGAGAGAATAAGGCAACACTAACTACTTTCATTCCTAATCAATCTCATACAAGATGGTCCAGCCAATGCAATAAGGAAAGGAACAGGAAATTAAAGGCATATGGGAAAACACTAAAGTTTCTCTGGAAAGGAAAGCATTAAACTGTCTATATTCATGGAGGATATGATTATGTAGCAAATCACAAGGAATCTAAAAAAAGCTCCTATAACCAGTGAGTTTAGCAAATTTCTACATACTAGGATACTGGAAATTGGAATATTTTTTTAAAGATCATTTATAATTGCACTAAAAATAAGAAATATTTAGGTATATATTAACAGAATACCTGCAAACCTGTATGCTAAAAACTACAACCCTAGGGGTGGCCTGGCTGGCTTAGCTGGTGGAGCATGTGACTCTTGATCTCAGGGCTGTGAGTTTGAGCCCCACATTGGATACAGAAGTTAATTTAAAAATTTTAATCTCTCTCTCTCGCTCTCTGTGTGACTATCATAAATAAATAAAAAAAAAAATTTATAAAAAAAAATAAAAAAAAAAAAATAAAAAAGGGATCCCTGGGTGGCGCAGCGGTTTGGCGCCTGCCTTTGACCCAGGGCGCGATCCTGGAGAGCCGGGATCGAATCCCACGTCGGGCTCCCAGTGCATGGAGCCTGCTTCTCCCTCTGCCTGTGTCTCTGCCTCTCTCTCTCTCGCTCTCTGTGTGACTATCATAAATAAATAAAAAAAAAAAAATTTATAAAAAAAAAAAAATAAAATAAAAAATAAAAATTTTAAAAATTAAAAAACTACAACACTGATAAAAGAAATCAAACATCTAAAAAATGGAGATATAGGGATGCCTCTGTGGCTCATTGGTTGAGCATCTGCCTTTGGCTCAGGTAGTGATTCCAGGGTCCTAGGATCTAGTCCCACATCAGGCTTCCCACAGGGAGCCTGCTTCTCTATATGTCTCTCTGTGTCTCTCATGAATAAATAAATAAAATCTTTAAAAATATATATTTTTTCCTTAACTGAAATGGTGTTTTTAGGGCTGGAGACTGATCCACAATGAAAGGCTAAAGAGACCAGAATGCTTATTTTTTTAGAAAAGCAGGTTTAAAAAGCACAGTGTATCTGTTTTCAAATGAATCCACAAAAGTATTTTGGGCCCCAAATCAAGAACACTGAAAATAAAGGAATGCAATGCAACAACATGATAGCTAAATTTAAGCTTAAAACCATACCTGAGATATCATGTGAATTGTATCTTAATAAAACTGCTATTAAAAAAACAAAAACAAAAACTATACCTGAACACTTTTTTCCTTTCCCCTAGCATTTCCCAAACTTGTCTAGTTAAGAATCAGGTAACAAGGCAGCCTGGGTGGCTTAGCAGTTTAGTGCCGCCTTCAGCCCAGGGCATGATCCTGGAGACCAGGGATAGAGTCCCACATCAGGCTCCCTGCATGGAGCCTGCTTCTCCCCCTCTGCCTCTGTCTCTGCCCCCCCCCCCTTGAATAAAGAAATAAAATCTTAAAAAAAAAAAATCATGTGACAACCTATTTAAAAAAAGATATTCCCAGGGCCCTTCTCCGAAGACTGATTTTGTAGTCTAGGTTAGGGACCAGAAACTTTTAAACCGCACTCCTTAAAAAAAAAAAAAAAAAAAAAAAAAATTTAAGGAAAACAACTGCTACCCATAATTCTTTCTTAGCTGCAAAGTCAAGCAAAAAAGATAAATAAATAAATTAATTGATTAATTAATTAATTTAATTCTCTATTTGGTCATGATCTGAAAGTTTTCTAGTATACCAGGATAGTGATCTTACACTGAAATAATCACACCTCAGAAAAATTTAAGATGATCTACTGGAATACAAAAGAAAATACAGATGACTCTTGAACAATGTGAAAGTTAGAGTGCTGACCCCCCTGCACAGTTGAAAATCTGCATAACTTCTGACTCCTCAAAAGTTAACTACTAATAGACTACCATTGACCTTATTGACAACATAAAGTCTGTTAACACATATTTTGTATGGTCTATGTTTTATATACTGTATTTTTACAATAAAGTAAGCCAGAGAAAAGATAAGAAAATCTCGAGGAAGAGGAAACACATTTACTGTACTGTATTGAAAAAGGGTCAACTATTAGTGGACCTGCATAGCTCAAATCTGAGCTGTTCAAGGGTCAACTGTACTGGTCTTCTATATACATTTCCTTTAAATCTTATGCTTCAAAACTTTCTCTTTTAGGTTTGTGTTTTATAATGTACACAATAGATCAGTGCAGTTGTGCATGTTTATCTCCCTACCCCCTAATAGGAGATGTGATCAGAAAAGAGTGGAAACCACTGGTTCTGGGACTCCTGATTTAGTATCTTCCCCCTAAATCTGGCCAGTCCTCATCCTCTCTATTTTGCAATAAGACCCTCACAATCCTCATAGATAACATCTGCCACCATTCTCTGCCTACCCAATACCATTCATTAGGGTTAGGGCTAGGGCTATAGTCATACACCAGGGATGAGAGCGTCATCACTCTGGATAAAGGACAGTTTTTTCCCTGAAATCTGAAAAGCTGCTTACTATATTGTATCTAGTATGAAATCTGGAAAGTGCCTACCTTTCTATATTACTCTTAAAGTCCAGTTGACTCCTGGCACTTGAAGATTCCACTCGCCAATTTAACAGTTGTGATTTCAATCCTTCACAGATGTCTCTGAAGTTTCGTGGCAAGCAGTAATCTGTTTTGCCGAGTCACAAATCTAAATCAAGTATGTTTCAAGCTGGTGTTGAGGACCAAACCATCTAGCAGGTGAGTATTTACTCTCACATGTCTATATTATTTGTCCTCTGCTCACTGATATTAGGGTCAGGAAAGATTCTTTCATTTTTTTACTTCTCCTTTACTGCAGAGGTCCTCACCAATTACCTACAAGTTTTCCCTAAAGACTCCTTGAATCCAAATATGTACAGTCTATATATTTTTTCAAGTAACAAACACTAAAAATAAAATTGCTGTGATATAGAATTTGGGAAGTTTTTAGGTAGGCTTTAAAAAAGGGCTGTCAGACTGGAATTCATACATTACTGCAAATATATCTTAAGTGGTATTCATGAATTGGGGATTCAATTCACAAACTGCTAAGGATATGTTCAATGCCAAAGATGTCAGAAGATAGGTTTTAAGAACTCTTCCCAGGGCAGAATTCTATGGCAAATAGGAAATATGTTCAGGGGAAAAAACAAAACAAAACAAAACAAAACAAACTCGTTTCTCCTTTCAACACTCCAAGTCAACATCTCTCAAAGAAGACCCTCTTCTCTCTCTCTTACCCTCAAGAATATCTTCATAAAGTGCATGTACTCCTTCAGGCACGATGACTGCCAGTGCAGTTCCACAGAGAAGGCCAGCACCCAAAACAGTCACCAGCTTTAGTCGTTCCTGGAAAGAAAACATAAGAAACTGCTGAAAATTGATGAATCAATGAGAAAAAGTTTCTGAAGTATTTGTAATCAAGACTGTGAGTGGGGCACCTGGGTGGTGCAGTCAGTTAAGCATCTGACTCTTGGTTTCAGCTCAGATCAAGCCCCACCTCCAACTCCATGCTCAGTGTGGATGGAGTCTGCTTGAGATTCTCTCTCTATAAATAAATAAAATCTTAAAAAAAAAAAAAAAAAGATTGTGAGCTGCTCATTTGTGAGCCCAAAATCTAGGATGGCCAGTGAACATGAAACTGGGGGAGTTTCATAAATAACTAATGCCAATTAAAACAGGGAGATGCTGGGGCAGCTGGGTAGCTCAGTAGCTGAGTGCATTTGACTCAGGTCATGACCCTGGGGTCCTGGGATTGAGTCCCGCATCAGCCTCCCCACAGGATACCTGCTTCTCCCTCTGCCTAAGTCTCTGCCTCTCTCTATGTATCTCATGAATAAATCAATTATTTTTTTTCTTTTTTTAAATTTTTATTTATTTATGATAGTCACACACACACACAGAGAGAGAGAGAGAGAGAGAGGCAGAGACATGGGCAGAGGGAGAAGCAGGCTCCATGCACCGGGAGCCCAACGTGGGACTTGATCCCGGGTCTCCAGGATCGGGCCAAAGGCAGGCGCTAAACCGCTGCGCCACCCAGGGATCCCTAAATCAATTATTAAAAAACAAAAACAAAGAAACCAGGGAGATGCCATTTACAAATTTACCAGATTCACAATGATGTGGGAAAACTTGTCTACAACTCATGATGGGAAAAATGAGCACATTTGTCTGACACTGGGAGAAATGTAAATTGCTATAACCTATCTGGACCACTATTTGGCAATTTCAATTTAAGGCTTCAAAAATGTGATTTCTTTGCTCTAGCAATTTCACTTCTAGAAATTCCTCCTAAGGAAGAACTATTCAAAGACGATCATGGCACGGACAGTGAAAACCTGAAAATATCCTAAACGTTCAAAAAAGGAGATTGATTAAATAAACCACAATACATCACAGTACCACAGCACTCAGCCATTAAACATTATGATTCAGGTCTATTCATGGATATATGCACTGTTATGAGGAAAAAGCTGGTGGCAAACCAGCTTTTTTATATGCACTGATAAGCTCATATTTGTAATAAAAAGTATACATATAAGTAGAACAAATGTAAATCAAACTAACAAATTTTTAACTTTATAATTTATAAATCTAATATATAATACACGATTTTTAAAACATTGCAATTGAGCTACAATGAACATGTTACTTATACAATGAAAAAATAAAGCTTACTTAATTCAGTATTAAAATGTTCTACATGTCTTTAAAAGCTGCTTTATTGAGGTTATGACTAAAATACCAAAAGCTGTAGATATTTAATGTATACAACTTGATGTATATGAAGGTAAGTATATATCTGTTAAGTTATCATCATAATCAGTGCCATAAATGATCTATGGTTTTGATCCAACCTAATCTCAGTTTTTTTCTTCCTACTCAAATTTCTTTGAGAGACTGCCTCTTGACACTCAAAATATAAAAGATTATATTTCAAAATTTCTTGAAGCAGTGGTGTACCATGTATGGCTTTCTGGAGCCTTAGCAGTATGAAAAATGACCTTAAAAACTAAAAGGGGGAAATTATGTACATTGCTTATGAAAAAGTTTTAATAATTAATGTACTTCACTTTTCTGTTTTAGTTTCCTTTATGAGGTTAGCAAAAGTAACAGTGGCTGTATCATTTCTGACATACTACTGAACTTGTGACTCTGAGGTTAGGGAAATAAATACATAAAATACACATACATATATATATACATACATACATACATACATACATATACTGTTTCTATGGAAAAATAGGTTCTCAGATGAAAGGCTCATTGAAGGATTACAGTCCCCTCCTTGTTTGGGAAGAAGGAAGGAATCTATCTCATTGTGTCTCTAATGAATATGGGGAAACTACAATTACAATGTCCACACCAACTAATACTTGCTATAAAGCAAGAGGGGAATCCCCCGCTCCTTAGCATATAGGCCAGGTTGGTCCTTCATACATTCTGGATGGCCATTATTAGTTACTTATAAATAGAGCATTCTGAATGCATCCAGTAGTTGGGGGCACTGGCTTGGGAGGCAGAGCTGGCTTCATGTCCAAACTGGTTAATAATATTTAGTACATCAGATTCTCTTCTGTAAAATATTTTTACATGTCTTATATAGGAGGCGACAGGAGAAAGTGATTGAAGCATTTCAGAAAAATGACACCAAACAACTGGTGTTACTTTTTAATATTTAATACTGAGCTATTCTAAGAGCTTTTATCTTCTACAAATTACTAAACTCATCAAAGCACTGCTAATCACAGCATTCATTCGAGACAAACTGCCAGAGCATGGAGAACACAAGATGTGTGAAAAACAGCTCTATTCTGTATAAGGGGACATGGTATATGAGTTAGTCTACTTGTCATTTTCTCTAATGAACTCATAAAAGACACCTTTGTTTTAAAAAAATTCATGAATGTAAAGTTTCACTCCTAAGAAAGGACAGAAATAATGGTAAGCTGAACTGGACTGAGCATATCATGTCATTTTAGGGACTTGGTTTCAGAATGCCACAATTCAAACTAATGAATAAATTGCTAGGGAAGAAAATTGTCCTGTCAGCATTTTGACTCTGACTATGCTCTACTCTGGGAAATGGAAATGAAAGATGCCTCTGCCTTATAAATTGAGGGAAGATGAGAAGTGATGAAAGGGATGTACTTAAAAAAGAAAGAGCTGAGCACCTTCCAGAATAACTTGGGTGGAGGCACCTGGGTGGCTCAATTGATTGAACATCTGTCTTTGGTTTGGATCATGATCCTGGGGTCCTGAAGTCAAGCTGCACATCGGGCTCCCTGCTCAGAGGGGAGTCTATTTCTCTCTCTCCCTCTGTCACTCCCCAAACTCATGCTCTCTCTCTCCCAAGTAAATACATAAAATTTTTTTTAAAAAAAAGAGTTACTTAGGTGGCAGCTTATATCATATACATAAGTTAATTCTTGATGGATTATACTTTAATATACAATCTAGAACTCAGGATGCCTGGGTGGCTCAGAGGTTGGGGATCTGCCCTCAGCTCAGGGCATGATCCTGGGTCTGAGATCGGGTCCCACATTGGGTTCCCTGCAAAAAGCCTGCTTCTCCCTCTGTCTATGTCTCTGCCTCTCCATGTCGCTCATGAATAAATGAATAAATACAATCTTTAATAAATAAATAAATAAAATCTAGAACTCAGAAACTTCTAGAAGGAAGAGTAGCTTTGTAATCTTGGTGTTGGCAAAATTTCTCAGCAAGGACACAAAAAAATTCCGTATCACAATTTAAAACATCTGCTGATCCACTCAGAAAATAAACAGACAAGCTACATACTGGAAGAAAATATCCGTAACACACATATCTGTAGTGAATGCTGTGGTGACACTGCCCACATCAACCTCCTCCAGGCTGAAGACACCTGTTCCCCTAGTTGCTGGGAGTGCTGCCTACTGAAGGCTCACAGCTGAGTCCCTCTGACAAACTGACCTTGGGCCAAAGGGTACTGACTAACCTAAGGCTATATTCCCTCTGGCAGGCCAGTTCACATCCCATGCTAGTCCCTGGGTTGTATGGAGGGAGGTACAAAGCCAGGTCCTCTTGCCTCCATTCAGGATATCTCTGAAGGGCCATCCAGCTTCAGAGCCTGCTGTGAGGTGAACTGAGGCCTCTACTGTAACTGAATTACAGTTCAACTCCTCCTTCTGCTTAATCCTACTCATTCTTTCCCAGGTATTATTCCCAAGAGCACTCCTCAATAAACTTCCTGTGCGCAAATCTTCTCAGAGTCTGTTTTCTGGGGAACCCAACCTAAGATATCGATAAAGGGCGTGTGAAATATAAAAAACTTTCACAACTCAGTAAGAGGCAACAACACACACACAACAAAAAATGGGTAAAAACACTGAATAAATAACTTCACCAAAGATATATGAATACTTAATAAGCCCATGAAAAAATGCTCAGCATCTTTATTCACCAGGAAAATGTAAATCTAAATTAAAGACATCTACTTACACCTACCAGAATGGCTCAGATTAAATACTCATGACACTAAATGACGGCAAAGATACAGAGCAACTGGAATCCTCATGTATTGCTGCTAGGACCATAAAACAGTACAATCACTTTGGAAAACTACTAGTCTTTTATCAAGTTATCCAGCAATTCTACTTTTGGTATTTTCCAAGAGAAATAAAAATGTATGTTCACAAAAACACTTGTACAAGAATGTTCATAGGAGGTTTATCAATAATAGGCATAATCTGCTCAGATGTCCATCACTAGAAGAATGTATAAACAAAGTGTGGTATATTCATACAATGGAATGCTACTCAGTAATGAAAAGGAATAAACTACTGCTACATACAGCAACCTGAATGAATTTCAAAAATATTATCCAAGGGCAGCCCTGGTTGCTCAGTGGTTTAGCACCACCTTCAGCCCAGGGCGTGATCCTGAAGACTCGGGATCAGGTCCCAAGTCAGGCTCCCTGCATGGAGCCTGCTTCTCCCTCTGCCTGTGTCTCTGCCTCTCTCTCTGTGTCTCTCATGAATAAATAAATAAATAAAATATTTAAAAAAATATATTATCCAGATGTTTGAATGAAAGAAGTCTGACACAAAAGAGTTACTTACTATCTAAGTCTATTTATAGGAAGTTTAAAAGCAGGCCAAACTCATCCTTGGCAAAAGAAATCAGAACAGTGGCTGCCTCCAGCAGAAGTGTGAGAATACAATGGCTAAAGAGAATAACAGTAACTAGGAAATGGCACCAGGTTATTTATTTTTAGGATGATGGAAATATTCTAAATCCTGACTGGAATGTGAGGTACATTTGTATATACTTGTCAAAATTCTTCAAACTGCATTAAGATAGTACTT